CTGCCACGGCATCAAAAACCGCCGGGCTAGAGCGGAGCCCAAATGGCAAGACACGGTCGTAGTAGTACTTCCCCTTGCCACAGGATGCCGAGGAGATGCCAATCCTGTGGGCGGACGGGTATTTGACGGAAAGCGCTCTTCACATCGAGTTTAGAGAGATAGACAGGAGACGGGGAGGACATAATGATGTTAATGGCTTCATCAATGCTGATGTACTGCAAAGAGAAAGGCTCGGCAGGGATCCCGTCGTTAACGCTGGAGCCGGCAGGGCTGGACAGGTGGTGTATCAAGCGTAGCTTGCCATTCTTTTTCGGAACGGCGCCAATGCCAGAGCAGTATATAAATGGGAATGGGGGCGTGTCAAATGGGCCAGCCGTGTAGCCGGCGTTGCAGGAACCGGTGAGCTGTGCAGACACAAATGCAGAGTGCTGGAATGCTGATGAGAGGTTGGACGAGTGCTGGTTAGTTATGCGGTTGCCGGTAAAGCCAATGTTAAAGCCGCAGCGGAGGCCGTTAATAACATACAAAGCCAATGAACTGGCAGGGTGGTTACGGAGCAGTGATTCGAAGCGAGAAACAGAGAGGGGTGTGTGGACAGCAGGACATGCGCTTGTGAAATCAGTAGAACTGCAGCCAAAGCAGCAGAGTTACTGGCGCCTACCGCACTTAGACCCGTTGTGGTCCTTGGACCCGCAGCGGTTGCAGACATGGCCGTACTTGCACGTGCTGAGACTGCAACGCCCAGCGTTGAAGTTCCGACAGATCGGTTGGCCATTAGACACCGTACGGACTCCATTGAAGGCTTGCTGGTTGTTACGTTGCGGACGAAAGGGACACTGGCCGCCTCCGGGATGGACGAGGCGGCAGGACTCACATGTGGGCCTTGATCGGCTAGTCACGGACATTTGCCACAGATTTATGTCGATGACGTCAAAGCGCTTGCCTGGCTGAGCAGAAATGGCACAGCGAAACTGGGTGTCGTACGACAGCCAAGCCTCCGGATAGTATTGCCTGTTGGCTGCAACAATGGTGGCTTGGTATGAGAGCATCTCTTGCAGGCGGGACGGGTTGGCAGAACACACGACGTTCATGAAGAGAGTCCATGCCTCCAGCCATGTCGGCAAGTCGTGGACACGTCGACGAACGGGCTGGGCAGCTCCACCTTCCACCACCTCCAGAGACTGGCTGCCACTGCTGAACTGCAGCTGAAGCTGGCGTGGGGCAGGATACGAGGTGGCGATAGTATCGGGCAGCAGCTGGGTGAAATCTACAAAGTCACCCTTCAATATTTTCTCTCGTATTGTCTGGGGAACGGAGAGATTACCAGCGTTGGAAGACTCCGCCGAAGGCTGAGTTCCAGCGGATCCAGGGGCAGTGATGGTGCCGGTGGCCAGCATTGGAGCGATCGCCTCCGACAAGGCAACGGTGATGGCGGAATGTACTTCCTGCCACACAAACTGGCGCAAATCGTCATTCCTGCTCCGGTCCGGGATCTTGGGAGTCGGAGAAGCTGCTGCAACACTCTCCAGATCCTGCTCTTGCTCCTGCCGCAGGGATGGCGTGGCCGACGGGGATCGAGGTTCCCGTGCCGCCGAGCTCGACGTGTCCTGGATACTGAGCAGCAAACGGGCAAGAAGCTGGGGCTTTGTTCCGCTCGAATTCAGCCCACGGCCTTCCAGCTCGGCCCGCAAGTCCGACACGTTCATACTACGTGCTTCAGAGGTAGACAACATGTTTGTCGTGCAGTAAACGGCTGCGAGGAGGCTACAAGGAGTCTGAATAATTAATTCTATTCTCCTCAAACAAATTCCGGTTGCTGCTCAGTGACACTGCAAAGGAAAGCGCAAGCCAAAGTCAGCGCAGCAAGAGCTACCCAAGGCGATTTGGGCACGCATGCGCAGCAGTTGAGTGCACATGTAAAGCTAGGTCAGTCGCAGCTAGCATGCGATAGAGAGCAGCGCATCGGTCTTATCGCTAACTAGGGTTAGCCCCAAAGCTAACCCAACATCTATTGCAATTTCAAATTTTGACTTCATGGAGAGTTTCAAAGTTTTAGGAAATTAGAGGCCACATGCCACGTACTGCTCTTTTCTCTCCGAAACTCAACACTTGCAAGTCAGATATGAAAGAAAGAAAGAAAATCATCAGTCACACCACAGGGAGTCGAACCAGGGACCTTGCTATTCACGAGCAATGCTCTAACCAACTGAGCTACATTATAACTCTTATCCACAGTGATGGTAAATCTATCCTTCTTCGATCGATCCACATCTGGCTTGCAACATACTGGCAACTCACACCAATCAAGAGGGCCCTCGGCCATTCGCTTGATATCATGGGGAGCGCATCAAACTATGTCCACTGCGAGCAAATACAAATTGCAATTTCAAATTTGGACTTCATGGAGAATTTCAAAGTTGTAGGAAATTAGAGGCCTCTTCTTCCTTTCATATCTGGCTTGCAAGTGTTGAGTTTCGGAGAGAAAAGAGCAGTAGGTGGCATGTGGCCTCTAATTTCCTAAGTAATGCTATTATTATATTATTATATGATCCAAAGCTATTAATTATGCTTTCGAGTTTGTTATCGATGCCATGACATCATGGCCGGGCAAATTTCCTGTGCAAAATTTTTCCTGTGCAAAATTTCTGTGCACCCCCCCCCCCCTCCCCCCCCCGTGAAGGGGTCCGGTGACGCCCCTGACTAGTATGTCTTGTTCCCAGTTTGAAAGTGGACACTCGACTTTCATGCCTTGATAAAGTAGTAGGGTGCAACAAGGTACGTCTGTAGCTGATTTTTCAGTGCTCCTCGTACATTTTGATGGTACTGTAATAGAAAATTCTCAGACCAAAATCAGCGCGCCGGTGGGCGTACTGATTTCTTGTGAATTTGTTAGTTGTTTCGTGATGTTGAAAAAAGGTTGATTCGCAAAAATATGTAGATTTTCATTGAACTTCAGGACAGGCGATTGCTGGCTACGTACTTCGAAGTACACCTTTTGTACCAGATCCCCACGACTGTAGTGATGGAAGAATGCACAAATGTCGGTATGTGCATTGAATGGAAGCGAGGATATGCAGCCATGAGCAGAAATTAAAAAAAAAAACACTTGGGGGCAGGACCCCTCGTCAGATTTCTGCACAAGCCTCTGGCTTGCAATGGTAAACAACAACATGCGTATTGGAAGGGAGTTACCCCCCCCCCCCCGGCTGTTTTTTTTTGTGCGGTTTCACGCCACTTAACAATATGGCCGCAAGAATATTTGAATTTTCAAATCGTCGGAACACGAGAACGCCATGGTTTCCCTTGGATTTTGGAGACTAGTCAGCCCGGACAGCCCAGGGAACACGCTGATCATCTGCGTCCTGTTTCAAGCTTTCCCCTCGTACCTCACACGACTGCCGTTCCTTCAAGAAACATTTGTTCTGTGTCGTGCGACTTTGGCTTCGTTCTGGAATACTCCTTGTGTCGTCGCTGACAAACTCGGCTCCGAGAAGCCCTTCCCGATTTTTTCCCACCTTAGATTGATATTTTCCCAGGTAGAGGACTATCCTCTGGTTGTCTTCCCCAAGTGTCATTAGAATACGCGCGTGGACTTCTAAATATGCACGATGAGTCAGGAGCCTGCTTTCTCTTGATTTGGAAGACAAATGGTGTGGCCCTTTAGTTGCTGTTGAGTGTAGAAGGTTGCTTCCTGCTGTGAATTGCTAAGTCAGCATGTGGGATATTGTAGAAGAAGACAGCAGCCCGCCAAGAGAGCTTAAAATTGTGATATCTTCCCTATTGTGCGTTGAACGATTACGAAATGTCTAACTTGATTTTTGTACACCCGAGCAGGCCATGCAGAGGCTGACAATCACTTGCGAGATCAATCTCCAGACTGCCAGGAGTAGCTTGAGCGAGTTTGAAGCGGAAAGGCAGCTAACTGGGCAGGCCAGGTCACCTTTCCACCCTCTTTCTCTCTCAAATTGCCGAAATGTCGAGTATCTCGCTCGATTGCTTTCAAAACTTTTCTCTTGGTTTCGCGTCCCAAACCGTGGAACCACACGAGGATCGACATGAGTTTCTTCCAAAAACGCAAACTCATCGCGTATCTGTACTATTCGCACAATGTTACATAAATCGCACCCAACCACGCCATATTTATAAGTGCCTGTGCGTGAACAGCCGTGCCCCCCCCCCCCACACTAATCCAGACAGCTTGTATATTACTACACATCAGACCTCGCTATCGACCCTCATGATAAAATATACCTCAATATGACGTATAAAACACAAATGTCCCCACCGAAACCGCAATACTTCTGTACAATTTTTCTCACTATAACATAATCCGCAATAGCTTAATTTTCGCTACAACACACTGTACCGCAGTGTTCACTTGGTCCCATGCGCACAGGGGTCGACAATGGATCATGGAGGAGGCAACGACACCCTGCTATACAACTATTTGAATTTGATATCGATGTAAACTAAACTAATATTCAAATACACCTGTACTGTACTCGGGCGCAGTGAATGTGCCCCGAGGCAACGAGTGTACTTGAGAGGAGAAAGCCAGCAGCTTGTCAGCGATGCACGATAGCTCTGCAAGTGAAGGTCGCTTCAACTCGGACAAGAACATCTAAAATAATTTCATATTATGTGTACGTGCTGCATTTGCATCCCCTCCGCCAAAGCACACAGAACAGTACATGTATGTGTGACCGCTGCATCGTGTGTTCCGCAAAGCGTCTCTGGTAGTTACGGTTTTCGCCTCCGCAAAAGCGGTGCAAACGTTACATGTGTGACCGCGGCCTTAGTAGATCGCTATCACTTCAGTGGTATTCAATCAGCAAAGAGAGTCATTTTGATATGCATGTTGCATATCGGTGTGCAAAGTTTACTACAACATGTAACTTCGCTAAGCTAAACGTGCAAAGCTGGCAGCATAACTTGTACATGTAGTTCCTTGGTCTTCATTTCTCCTCATGAAAGGGATCCATTTGCATTTTTGCACTTACCTACAATGTTGAGTTGATATGTTTGAGTTGAGTTGTGATCCACTGTTCTGCAATGGTACAGTCCAGTGTATGAAGTGTCCAGTATCGGATGTGCTGTGGTGTTCACTGGTACCCTAGTAGTAACTCCTGAGAAGGCACCTGTCTCAGCCCACACTAGACTACCATCAGTCTTCTCTAGTCGAATCCATGGTCCTGATCCACACTTCACAATGCACTGTGGTAAGTAATTGGTAACATTGGCTGTAGGTTGTCCATCACCAAAAATCACGTTGAATGCTGATGTTTGTCCCGTAGCACCAGCAGTTAGAGAGACGCCCTGACCTACATAGGAACACAAAAGAGTACCATAGCAACAAAAAAAAGATCAAAGCAGCACACACATGCCAATAGTTTAGCAATAGTATTGCACTGCAAACTTGCCATTGCATATGCTAGTATGCAAACACCACAGAAGAAAACACCAGTGATACTCCAAACACATGAAATGACACTGCCAGATCTAGTTGAATACACTAAGGGTGCGTTGGAATTGTTACTCTTTGACTTTTCGAGGAGTTTTACTATTATTGTTTTTTCGGCAACGCGGATGATGGTGATGATGATGATGATGATGATGATGATGATGATTACTTCAAATATCCTGTTGTCATGGGTATGTTGCGTACCCGCCTGCCGTTTTGCCTCTTGAGGTGGGCCATTACGTGCTTTCGTGGTTGCCGAGGGTCTTATAACAGACGGCGGGTGAATTCCTTTGTGGCCCAGTGTCGTTTGGCCGCATAGTGAATTTTTATGCTATGCCTCTCAACAATATCACTATGGATAACATCACATTTTTTAAATAACTATTTGGTAAAGTAACATCATCTGTCATTCAATATCTATCTGGTAAAATAATCAGCATTTGAATATCTACTTGGTACTAATCATTCAACTGTTAAATGTCATATTTTTACCTGAATATCTATCACGATTTTTGCACATAATCTCGGTTATCACCGTTTCAAGCCCGTACAAGAGGCCGTTTCCAATGATGATGATGATGATGACCTGATGTTTGTTTTTTATATTTGTAGTTCTATTGTTGACATCTTTTGTCTTTTCTTTGGGTTAAAAGGTTAACTTCATCCTCGTTTTCTTATTGCCTTGTATTGGAATTTGCCCATAAAAGTGGCTACGGTGTGATAATGCATTTTTATATTTCGTGTTTTAACAATTGCTCTTACAATACCTTGCGTTTTATATTCATAATATTGTTGCCCGTAAAAGCGGCTTGGTCACATGATGATGATGATCAGTCAAGAATTTCATGAGTTATTGTTTGATGGGTCGATAGATAGAGGCCGGTGTTTGTGAGACTGCAATCATTTAATGTTTCTTCCTTAGTGGTGTAGGTAGATTCTGTTTTGTAAGCATAGTAGGACTACTTTTGTTTTGTAAGTCAATCTCATTCTCCACGCTTTGCTGTCATTTGATTATGTTTCAAAGTAGTTTTTATGACCTGATGTTTGTTTTTTATATTCGTAGTTCTATTGTTGACATCTTTTGTCTTTTCTTTGGGTTAAAAGGTTAACTTCATCCTCGTTTTCTTATTGCCTTGTATTGGAATTTGCCCATAAAAGTGGCTACGGTGTGATAATGCATTTTTATATTTCGTGTTTTAACATTATTTTCAGAAAATTGCTCTTACAATACCTTGCGTTTTATATTCATAAGATTGTTGCCCGTAAAAGCGGCTTGGTCACATGATGATGATGATGATGATGATGATGATGATGATGATTTTTGATGATGATGATTTGAAGCCACTTCCTTGGGCAAACAAAACACAATTTCCCAAGATGAAGGAGTGGAACCCTACACAAATAATAGTTTAAATGAATCCAACGCAAAGATCGTTTTTCCATGAAATACAACAATTGAACACAATTACATGCTTAAAGGCATGAAAGCAACAAAACAGCAACAAAAGGGTAAGCGCCATACCAATCCCGCATGCACAGTCAGGACACAGCACGATACTTAACAAACTAGACCTGACTCGGCCACGGCAATCGAGACATCATGAAAACATCTCGCCGGATGGTGGTACCGTGACCGAGCCCCACGTATGCACAACACAGCAGCACGCAGCAAAGCAAAAGACAGCCGACAGCGGAGTAAACCAATGACCTGGGAATAGTGAGATCCCGATGACTCGGCCTGCATCTGGCACAGTCTCTTGAGGAACACATTGCACAGCCTCCCACAACCACCATGCACAGAGAACACGAGAGGTGTGAAAGCGGCTCTTTCTACATTTGTGACTCTTGGCCCATATTCGTTCCACTTACGCCGCTCGTGCTGCTGGTACAATGCAGGAAGGGTTCTGGACCCGTAGGAAGGAGCATCTGGGCAAAATACCCTTACATCAAAAAAAAGCTTCCTCCCCACGGGTCCAAAACCCTCGAGCGGCTATGTCCAGGCGCGCATCCTCTCGGCGGTTCGTTGACCGAAGAGGAAACCTCTCACCAGAAAGAGGTTGCAGCGCTGGTTCTGTCGAAACGGCAGTGCAGACTTCAGTCAATTCCCTCGCCAGCAGGTCACGTATCTCGTTATGACGAAGTGTCGGGAAGCCGCCCCTGGCGCAACATAGCTGATGCTCAACTGAGAACAGCTCACCACACACACAGGTTGCTGGTGTATTGGCTAGCGGCCATGCATATCTCAATGCCAGAGCATCCCGGAAGTCACGCTTGGTGAGACGAAAGCCATGCTCCGCCAGGGGCAGCACGCTCAGCCATGAGGATGATCCTTTCTCCGTGTGTTCTTCTATTCGTCGCTTCGTCATCTCATCGCTCGTGTCCACTATTTTGTTCCTGGCTGCCTTTGCGCGCTCCCGGTTTTCGGTGTGGACGACACGCTTTTTGTGACGCATTTCATCGATCATCCTCTGAAAGGGGGTACCAGCACCAGCAACATCAGCAGCCACATCCGGTCCAGGGTTTGAGTTGCCAGCGACCTCCCGCGGCTGCACCTCCGTTGCCGTCATCGTGGGAGTGGGAGACGCTCCACCACGGTCAGCAGTATCTGCAGAAGCCGGCACATCTCCAGCGAGAGAAATTGGATCGCTATCCTTAGCGAATGATGATGATGATGATGATGATGATGATGAGTTCTTCAATTCGTCTCTTCGTCTCCGGCGGCGGGGAGATTGAGTCACTGGAGGGTACTTGCCAGGGCGATCCGCTGGCCATGGCTCTGTATGGTATCGCTACAGTCCCGATGATTCGGCGCCTCCAGGAATCCAATCCATCTGTGGCTCAGGTTTGGTACGCGGACGACGATTCTGCAGGTGGCCGCGTTTCTTCATTGTCCACATACTGGGGAGACATAAGCCAACTGGGCCCTGACTATGGATACTTTCCAAACCCACGGAAATCAGTGTTGCTGGTCAAGCCGGAGCATGAGGAAGAGGCCCAGCGCCTCTTCTCCGCCACTGGAGTTACCATCAAGACCAGCGGCAACCGTCACCTCGGCGGAGCGATTGGCAGTGAGGAGTTCTGCTCTGCCTTCATGGCCAAGAAGGTGGATAAATGGAAGCAGGTTCTGGATTCCCTGACGGGGATGGCTGTCACTCAGCCTCAGGCCGCATACACCGTTTTTACGAAGGGTCTGTCATCCACATGGACATACCACTTGCGTTGCTCACCTTGTTCGGCTGAGATACTGGCCGAGCTTGATGAGAGGATCAATGATTGCCTGATACCTGCCCTTCTGGGGGATGGCGTTCGTCCTGGTAGCCCTGAGAGAGAGCTGATGTCATTTCCAGTGCGTCTTGGTGGTTTGGCCCTCCCTCTGTTGCAGGATAGTGCACCAGCAGAGCTCGCAGCATCCTTGAGCATCACAAAGCCTCTTGTTCAGCTACTGTTGACTGGCACATATGCGAACCCTCCAAGCGTGCCTGGTGATATGGCAAGGAGCGATTTGTCGGATACTGCCCAGTCAGAGGGCTCCGGTGATACAACCCAGGAGGTTGCCGACCGAGTGAGGCTCTCCAATCATGATCCCGTCCGCGATGCTGTTGGGGACACCCGCCAGCTGGCACGCTCGACTCGGACAAGCAAAATGCGGAGCCTATGCAGCCGGCAACAAGACATTAAGGCGGACTTGAGCTCGGAGCAACAATTTCTTGTTGAAATCGCGTCCGAAAAGGGAGTATCGTCATGGTTGACTGTTGCCCCGCGGTGGCAAGATGGAACCATCCTGAAGAAATCCGACTTCCGTGATGCCCTGTGCATCCGCTATGGGCGAAGGTTGAGTGGGCTACCCGATTCATGTGTTTGTGGTGTGCCTCTCAGCCCCGCTCATGCACTTACCTGTGCCACTGGCGGCTATACCATTGCCGGTCACAATGAGGTGCGGGACTTGGTTGCTGGACTACTGAGGGAGGCTGGAGTGGTGGACGTAGAGACGGAGCCCCGGCTATTGCCCTGCAGCAGTGAGCATTTGCCTGGTGGTCGTTCCCTCAACCGATGCGCAGAAGCTCGTCTGGATGTGCGGGCTCGCGGCTTTTGGTCGTGGCAACAGGACGCTTACTTTGATGTGCGGATCACTCATCCCGCAGCGTCTGTGTTGTCTCGATCACAAGCCCTGAGTCAGCTGAAGTCTCACGAGCGAAACAAGAAAAATCAATACGCCAGCCGTGTGGTTAACGTGGAGCGCGGCTCCTTCACGCCACTTGTGTACGGCTTGTGTACGGCTTTAGTGGCCCAGAAACTACTCAATTCCTGAAATCATTGGCCTCCCTGTTTGTTGAGCGCCATACTGAACTGAAGTACCCACTAGTAATGGGCATACTACGCACCCGTTTGTCTTTCTGCTTGCTGCGATGGGCAGTCACCTGCTTCCGCGGTTGCCGCGGTTCGTACGGCAAGAGGCGACAGCCGAACTCATTTCTGGCCCAGTGCCGCCAGGCGGAGTAGGGTGCTGCCTTTGGCCTCAACTTTATATAATGCTATTTGGTTTTTCCCCTTTTATTACTCTGTGTTCATTGCTTGTTTTTGTATTGATTTACTTCCTTGACTGCTTTTGTGTTTCATCATTTTCCGGTTGGTTTTGTGTTGATTTCCCCTGTTCACTTTACATATTGTAATGATATACATTTGCTTTGCCCGTAAAAGAGGCTTTTCTCATGATGATGATGATGATGATGATGATGATGATGATGATGATGATGATGATGATGATGATGATGGGCGCTTATTAGTGACGGATGTTTCTCCTGCTGTTGCTGGTCCAGGTCGTGGCAC